ATTCAAATCACTGTAGTTTGGTATTCATCCTTAAATGAAAAGAGAGCAGCTTCCACAAAAAAACGCAAGTTGTGTTACCATTTTTCCTGAAGATACTGGTGTAATAGGCCTAAAAGGACATTAATACAAGTATATGCATTCATTTTTTTCAGCTGGGTTGGGCCAAACCTCACCCACTGATCCACTCACTGAGGAATAAACACAGGTTATAGTACAATGAGAAATGCAAACCTGCTAAACCTTGCTGCCTCGTAAACAATGTAAATCAAGGCCATTCCTTGTGGTGCTTTAAAATATGTATGACACTAGTCACAGGAGTCGCACTTAAAACCAACGTGGCTTGTCGAGAAGTTGCATCATGTTGAGCTTCAACTACTTGAACAGGCAGGTTTTCCAGTAACATCAACATTACAGATCAGTTGTTGAGGCTTGTCTGAAATAAAACAGTAAGAAAATGTAAGTGTTATTAACAGTATGCGACCGAGCAGGGGTATCAAACTCCCAGTTGGCGGGCCACTTCTAGCTTACAAATCTCTCAAGAGCTGGTCCACTCTAGAAGTCATTTCTAATTTACACCTGGTATAATTAATGTAACTATTTGTTGTAACTATTTAATAAACTTGTGGGGAACATGATGCAGACAGGGAAGGACAATGGTGTTTCCTTTCCACATACGTCGTAAAACACATTGAACACACAAACAGACTTGAAAACAATAAACATTCCTTTCCACATACGTCGTAAAACACAAACAGACTTGAAAACAATTCCTTTCCACATACGTCGTAAAACACATCAGTCGTAAAACGCGTCTGCTGGCTTGACAGGTTGAAACTCAAGTAAAACAACATGACTGCACTTGACAGGTTGCGAGGTGACTCCTGGATGATGGTCACGTGCTTGATCTGACCTCTACCCCACATGGGTACCACCACCTACAACAGAACACTGCCTCAACTCACAACACACTCTCCTATGATTTATACTGGCTGCCCATATTTTGCATGCATCACTTGATGCATTTTTGCTCCATTACACTGCCTGTATTGCAAAGTTATTAAGAAAACAAGGGCACCAGATATGTTCTGGAATTATTGTGTGAAGCATGGTAATATGTATCCATGTACTTGGTTTTGTCAGATGTTATGGAAATAAAAATATCATGTATGCCCAAATTGATGGAATAAGTCCCAACCTCAGCCTCATGTTTCCTTACCGAGATGTTACAGACATTCTGCCTCTGGCACAGGACATGAATTATACCTAAGTACGCTTGCACTGGAAAAGCTGTAGTCTGCAATATTTAAACCTATTAACTTGACTGCAGAGAAAAATATAGCCTCTTAAATGCTGCCTTTTTAAAGGTCCAATCAGCATCATCAGATGACAGGAAAAACACCAGGAATAATTTTGAGCTGCTGACATTTAAAAGCATTTGAGCCATTTTGTTTTGTTTTAGTCAAAAACCTTATTTCAACATACAAAGCCAACTCCTGTTAAGAGCTTTGTCATTTTCTTATTGTTCCCTGTGGACACAAAAAGATGATGAAGCACATCACAGCGCATAATGTTCAGATGAGTTTACAACAGTGTGCAGTGGTGAACTGCTTGTTTGGTCATGATTTATGTGAAGCAGAGACTGGACAGATTACACTTTCACTGCAATTACAAAGCACTCTGGGTAAGTGGAGGGAATTTTAGTTGTGAGAACAAATGTGAAGGTTTCTAATGCACCAACCAGCTGTCTCTGTATTTTTGTTTCCCGAGAGGGAGTCTGCATCTTTCCGATTATTCCACTATTTGGTCATTCGATGGGAATACAATAAATCTGTATCACACTGAATGAAAAAAAAGACCATAAATTTATATTAATCTGTATCACACTGAATGAAAAAAAAAAATACCGTAAATTTATAGAGATTCCGTTACACTACAAATATGTTTTCCATCACTACAGCTACAACCACCATAGTATTTGGCAGATGGTCCTTAAACAATAAAAATATCAATACAATACATTCCAAATGATATATTTGAAAATCTACATTGCAGCCTAAAATAGCATTTCCCAAACTTTTTCGGGCCGGGCCACATATTTAATTCAGAGACAATTTACTTACTTCATCTGTGGGTTTAAGTAGTCGCCCAGCAACAACGCCAGAAAAGCCAAACTGGTTTTGGGAGAGCTTAATACAAGGTGAACACACATGGACACTTGGTGTAACTGATAGCCAAACCTATCAATTTCTTCCATTATAAGCAGAACAAGATGGTACTTCTCTTTGCATCGGCTAATGTACAGCAAATCTGACAGATAATTCAGGGGCGTCAATGGGGTTTCAGATGTCTTTGTACAGTTGTTATGTAAACTCTATGTTAAATTCTTTCAAGACTGAATCAGTCTTACAGTGTTGACAAAATAAATATTTGTATTTGGGGTTTTTTTCTCTCCAAGACTTGTAAGCCAAATTTAAAAAAAAATCACAAGTCGAATCGTGACGCCTCTGAATCGGAAATCGAATCGAATTTTTAGCTGACCTAAATTGCGTAAGATATTTGCACTGATTTCTTTCAGGTAATAAATGTACTTGTTGCTGATCTAGCACAGAGACGGGTCATCATAAGTGCCAGCCTATTTTAAGCGGCAGACTCCTTCATCCTCTTACGGTACCTTTGAGTTGTGGCAGCGGTGAGAGCTCCACTGGAACGCTCTGGGTGCGGTACTGAGAGGAGCCCTGGGATCTCCTCTGTCTCTGGGCCTTTCTCACGGACTTTCGTGTGAATCCGTCCACTTTCTCGGATGCGGAGATGGCGGACATTTTGACGCATAAAACTGACGGGAGGACTTCAACACGGGCTGTCGTATATCCTCTGAGCAAACTGAAAGGGCTTCCTCCTCTTCACATCAGTACAAATATAACAGGAGCCAAAGCGAAAGGGCCTGGGGCTCGTCTAATTCTCCCAGTGTTGACTTATTCGGTTTTATCCAACATGTTGTCCTGCTGCATTACAGTGTAGAATCCAACGTCAAAACAAAACACACAAAAGCCAAACAACCACTGACATTTCCAGTACTAACGATCGATAGATTTTTTTTTAAAAATCACAGGTTTTTAAAAAACGGCTAAATGTATTTCATATACTTCGCTGTTTGCCGTTGGTCTATATGTCACAAAATGCTCCAAAATATACTGTCATCAAAAGTTGTTTCGTCAAAGTAATGAAAGCAGCAAAGTGTTGATACTGCGAGGCTGCTAAGCAAATGCACCCCAGCTAGCTTGCTAAAATTAGCAAGCGCCAATAAACATCAATATGACAGCATTAATTGATAAGAAAATGTTGCATTAGAAAAAAAGAACTCAGATGAGTCCTGCTGGTCCTTAAAACCATTTAGAATCCCGTCTTTTCAAAGCTTGCTTTTAATCCAAACGCCACTTCCGCTGAAGAACTATTCGCGAACGAATCATGGGAGTTCGATTTCGCTCGACGGCGACTCTTCTTTTGCACTAAAAAGTTAACCGTACTGCGCAAAATCTTCTCTGAATCTTAAGTGTTCGTTCGTCGGCGTGCGAAAAAACCCAAATTATCCTCAAATGCAACAATATTAGCAGACGTCGAGGGTGTGTAAAGTTCCCAACATCGCCAGTACCGTCGTTCTCTGTGGACTGACTCCCGACCGCTGGTGGACTGCACACATCCTTACACAAATGTGCGTCACTGACAGATAGCTTTACTGACCAATCAGAGGGGGAGAGTTAAACCCTTAGAAACTTTTTGAACCGATCACCGTCCAAGAAACTGCATCGAGGGCTGAACACGTGACGTGTGAAAACAAATAGGTGACGTTGAGCAGCTAAACGAGGAGTGGCAACTGTAGTATGCTGTGTCTCTGCCTTTGTTTACACAATATACAAATGCTGCTCGAACAGTGCTAAAAATATACGAAAATGTTTCAAAACACGTACAAGCAGCAGCACTTCACTGTCTAGAGACAAACTTTGTTTTTGTCAGGTTTTCCTGTCTAGTTTACCTTGTCCACGCGTTAAAGCTGTTTTAGCTAACACTAGCTAATGTGGATTAGCATTTAGCTACAATATGGCAAACTATAGTTGGTAATCTCACCTGTACTTCTGTGTATGCCTTAAAATGCCTACTGGCAGAATTTTGATTTAATAAGCCATTTCATTATTTTTAAGCACATTATATTTACTGTTTATGCTAACGTTTTTCTCAGCCCTTTTTGTAGGTTCGGCTCAAACATTTATAAAAAATAAAAATTATGGCCCAAATCCTTTCTTAAAAAAAAGAAGACAATGAAACAATGTGCATAATTGACAAAGATGAACATGTACAACAAGAATATATAAATTATTTTCTATTTAATAAAGTCAGATGGTTTTAGGTTTGTGGTAATTAACTTCAATCCAACCAAGTAACCACCACTGGTTATTTTTGTACATATAAACAATTTAAAGTCTCTGGAGGGACATGCAAGGAAATACAGGAAGTTCTTTTATACATGTGGTATAGAAATAAACAAGTCAAATCATTACATGGGGGGAAAAAACAGTACAAAGAAAACAAAATAGAATTGTGTTGGAAAACTGATATGCCATTAGCTGAGAGTTTGAGTGTTAGTTAAGTTCATAGTAGGTATAACTCATTGTTTGTAGAACAACTTAAATGTTGCAGAAATGTTTCTCTCTTTCTGTATGTGCACCTAGATCAGTGCAAGTAGTAGCACAAGCTCTTAACAGTACTAGGAACAATGTGCAATTCTACTGCAAAAACCTGTTTCTTCCGGAACTTTGGCGACTGTTCTGCAGTCCCAAATCAGCTCCTGTTCCAGAGGGACATCTAACCTAGAGTTAGTGGCCAGAAATCATTAGAATTAGTATTTTCTTAAATATTCTTGGCCGGTGCATAGATGAAAATTAACGGGAATGCATGCTGGTCACGTTCGTGTTTGTTGTAGATTTACTTTGCAAAATAAAATTTGCTTTTAGGAGTAGGACAGGATGTAACCAGAACATTGTGCTGTGAAATAAATGTCACATTTTATCTCAGTGGAAGCACAACATCAGGCATAAAATATTCAAATGGCTGCTGTGTCAGTCTTCATGAAGCTCAGGTTCATGTATTCACATAACCTAAATAAACCACTGTTTTCAAGCCTCATCACATGTGGGTCCCACATAAAAAATACCCCAAATAAAAACACTGCATCTGTGACAGAGGCACAGACGAACAGCTGAGCTGGAGTGGGTCACTCCGGAGTTGGTCTCATGAAATATGAGGAGATTTTCTTCATGCTCTGTGGGGAGTGGGTTGTCTGCAACAGAAAGACACAATAAATAAAATGTCAATTACCAAACTGCGCATGTCAGCACAAGGTAGGAGGGACCAAACTGTTAAAACCAACAAAAATTCTTCAGGTATGTGTTTTTGTATTGTGACGCTGCTATTCCAGACTGGCTACATTCCAGGTCAGAAAAACTGACACAGATTTCATTGTTTAGTCAGTTACTCCGCTACAAACAACTTTTCTTTCTGCCATGTTTGTGTTGAATCACAGAGATAAAGCTCAATTGTGTAGCAAACACACATTGGTAACTGTATTACTTACAGGTGAAGCTGGCGTTCTTCCTTCCTGTTTCTTTGAGGAACTTGGACTCCTGAGAACACTGGGGCTTCTGAGACCTTTGGTCATCTTCTGACCCATCACAGTGAGCCAGTCCTTCCCCGTGGGAGAGAAATTTTCCTTTCCACTCTGTCTAAGCGGGACTTGTCTGTCTTCTGCGTGACAGTCTGTTTGTACCCTGCTCTCCTGATCTTGGCAGCAAACACCAGCCATGGCCCGGCTCCTCTTGGCCACAGGATAGAGTTCAGTAACACAGTCACATTGCTCTGAGGCCTCACAGCCCGCAGATGTACTCGTCTGCAGCCTGCGTTTAGCTCGTCGCTCTGTGGGAGGGCTGGCGCTCACCGGACTCTGTGGACACGGGCTCAGTACTCTGCGCAGAGGAGGGCTGAGCTGACTGGGGGACCCTCTGTTGGGGGATAACCACTCTTTGATCGAGGAGGGTGTTTTCTGGCGAAGAGCAGCAATTTTGGTGTCCTGACACTGAACAGGGGAAGAGGTGCTGGAAGGGAAAGGTAGAGCGGCTCCACTGGGGGCACAGGCTGCCTGCTGAGGTGAGGCTGGGCCTCCCAGACTGTCCATCTGAGTCTTGGCAGGAGTCATCTCTGCTTTGATTAAATGCCCTTGGAAAAAAGAGTTCTAATTAGTCCACAGTGATGCCATTCAACATTATCCACTTCTTCCTAGACAGTAACACCAATGTAATAAAGGATGTTTGAAAACAGCTGTAAACATAAGCCTGTATCACAGTATGGATGTTTGAAAACAGCTGTAAACATAAAGGCAGCCTGTATCACAGTAAGTGAAGAAATGGTAGTTGAAATATGGTTTACGTCAATGACTTCAGCCTCAGAGGAGGTGCTGTTAATATTTCAAAAAAGCACTTTTTCCCTTTCCTGAAGGAAGGCAACTTAAAAAAAGTTGATGTTTCAAATTCACACCTAGTCTAAGGTGACACTAAATGACGTGCAACTGGGTGAAGTAGCTCCACTTGCTCAAGTTAACAAGTTTCGAAGGTCGTGCAAACACTAACTTGTGGGAGATTTAGGACGCGCCCAGCCCACGAGGTTGGCTTCACCCACTGCAGACTCTGCTCCGGGCGACTCCCGCCAAAGCCTCCAGATACGAACGGTGTGGTCGTCAGAGCAGGAAGCAATCTGCCAACAGAGCAGTGGTGATTACACACAGTCTGAGTCCAACATCCTGACTCAGCACAACATCTGTGTCTCTGTGCAGGCTTCACCAAGAGGAAACAGAACAGGGATGACCAGCTGACCCTGTGACTTTACCTTGGTGAAATCTGTGGGACACCACACGACAGAGGTCACTTCCTCACTGTGGCCTTGAAGCATCATGGGAGGATGCTGAGGGTCGGCAATCTAAAAATCGAATACATTTTTTTTTAAAAAGTATAATTTAAATAAACATTCATTCTTATGGCACTTCAGCAGTACAAAGGTATAAAAGACTCACCTTCCAGATATACGTGTGGGTGTCACTGGAGCCACTGGCTAAGAACTGGTCGTCTGGACTAATGGATGACTTAACATAAAAGGATGAGTTCTGGTGACCACTGAACACTGCCACTGTAGAAGAAACAGAGACATGACTGAAGGCTGACAAACACATGTTTAATATATTAAATAAAGACATTATGTTCTAATAACCTTAAGTATTTAGGGGCTTATGTGTAG